CAGAACCCAAGAATGGACTAACAGTTACCAAAGAGAAAGGGACTGGGTAGGGTGGGTGGGAAGGGAGGGATAAGGGTGGGAAAAAGAAGGGGGGGCCTTACGATTAACATGTATAATGGTGGTGGGAGTGCACGGGGAGCGCTGTGGAACAGAGACGATGAGTAGTGATTCTATAGCATCTTATTACACTGATGGACAGTGACTGTAATGGGGTTTGTAGGGGGGACTTGGTGAAGGGGGGAGTCAAGTAAACGTAATGTTGTTCATGTAATTGTAGATTAATGATAACAAAATGAATTTTAAAAATATGAATAAAAAATTTTTTTTAAATGACTTGGAAGGAATTGGCTCAAGTTCAATTAATCGTAGGTAATTCAAAAACTATTTATACCTGATGATTGCTGTCATATAATTCTCACTTATATTCCTTATTTTGATATGAACACATATTTGGGGAGGACAGACAAACTCTTATATTCCATTTGGCATCATGATTTGTCCTCTAGAGCTGGGTGACCTTGTCACTCCATTCCGAGAGAAATCCAACAATACTTACATGAAGATACAAGCTGTGACCTGTGTCATTATGAGGGCACCCAAATTATCAGGGTATACTGTAGAAAGATACCAGATCGATAAAAGGATCCTGAATTTGGGAATTTTACCTTTATCTAAGTAAAAGTTTAAATATAACCTATAGCTATAGACCTTAAAATAGTGGATTACATTTTACAAGCTGATTTAACTATTTCAGTCTTTAAAATATTTTTCTGATTGTAGAGCCTACTGTCCTTTTTGGAGTCATTCAGTGAAGAAAGAAAACCCTTTTTGGACATCCTGTTGATAAAAAGGAATCTGGATGAGCTGAATGAAGATCAGTTACAGTTGAGAGAAGTCTGGGATGGCCTCAACAGCCAGGTTATTGTGTTATGTTGATTAGAAGAAACCTTTCATGGGGCAGCTTTGTTTGTTGCATGAGCACTTGAGATTGCAAAAGGAATTCTGTAAAGTACAGAGTAGATGCTTCATCAACAGTAGACACCAGGCCATGGTGTATATTGGTGTACATACAATTTGCACTTGAAAGGTGCATGTATTCTGTAGTTATTGGATGTAGTATCTATAAATATCAATTAAGACAAGGCAGTTTTTGTCCAGTTGATCTATCAATTGCTGAGAGAGTGCTATTAATATCTATATAATCTCTAATTCTCAATTGATGAGACAGTGCTATTAATATCTGTATAATCTCTAATTCTGTCAAATTTTGCTTTGTGTATTTTAAAACTCTGTTGTTAGGTGTTTACATTTATCATTGTTATTATGTCTTCCTGATGAATTGACAGTTTTACTATTATGAAATCTTCCTGTTCATCTCTGGTTATTTTTCTTGATATCTGCTCAATCTGATATCACTATGATTATCCCAGTCTTATGCTGACTGTTTTTAGGGCACATCATTTTCCTTCATTTTCTTTCAACCTATTTGAGTTATTATATTTAAATGGCATGTCTTACATGCAGCATATGGTAGGATCTTGCTTTCTTAATCATTGACAATTTCTGCCTTTTAATTAGAGTGCTTTGTCAGTTAATATTTAATGTAATTATCAATATGGCTCAGTTCAGGTATACCAATTCATTTTTTTTTTCTGTTTTTCCTCTGCTTTTTTTGTATCTTTATTCTTTCTTTTCCTGCTTTGTATTAGATTATTTTAGTATTTTGAGAATTATATTTTATCTGTTGGCTCTTGGCTCTGCCTCTTTCTATCTTATATTTGTGGGATTACAATACACATTCTAAAATTTTTACAGTCTCCTTAGAGTTATAAAACTTCTACGTTATTGTACAATTTCTTACATTGTAGCAATCTTGCAATCAGATTGATTCATTTATCTTTCATTCTTTATGTTATAGTTGCTTTATATTGAAAAAGTATAAAATAAACATATAAAGTCCCCAAGACCATGTTATAAATTTTTGCTCAAAGCAGTCATATATTTTAAAGAAATGAAGGGAAAAAAATTAGTCTTTTATATTTATCTATTTATTTGCCATTTCCAATGTTCTTCATTCCTTTCTGGAGATTTGAGTTTCTGTCTGAACTCATTTTCCGTCAACCAGAAGAACTTCCTTTAACTTATTTTGTAATATAGATCTGTGGGTAACACAGTGTCTTAGTATAATTTGACCTCTTAGTGCCTTTATTGTTTTAATATCTTTATTGTGGTATAATATACATACCATGTAGTTCACTCACTTCAAATAGATAGCAAAATGATTTTTAGTGAATTGACAGAGTTGTAACAGAGATTGTATGGTTTGCAAGTCCAAAATACCCTCTGACCCTGGAAAAGTTTGCCTATCCCCCTCAAGTCTCTTGGCTGTCAAGAGTGACAGTCTGTTTTCAGAATACATTTTCACATCCTTTATGAAGTGTGTGAAATAGCAGTCTGGTACCTTAAAAGTACCTAATTTTGGAGAACTAGGGCAGCTCCAAAAATCTTCCCATCAAGTGGCATGCTCACTGCATTCTCAGCTTAGTGTTCTGATCAGAGCTTTGCAATTAACCCCTCTACAAAATGAAGGAAGGACAGGATGAAGATGTTGTCTGAGTAGTTCAGCCTGTTCCAGGCCACAGTGACATGGCCTAATTTTGCTGAATATAGTTTGGAAAAATTACCCAATATAATAAGAAAAACTGTAAAAACTATTTTGCAAGAGTAACTACTGCAAATTGATAGTAGCTTAAAAAGGCTTTTCTTTGGTACAATGGAACTTACTTTCTTAGCATGGCAAATGAGACATACTGTATAAAGTCATCAGGTACATAGGAATCAATATCATCTAGACAATTTCTGGTTCAGATGTTTAAGAACACAGGTATCTCAAAATATCATAGTCAATGGTTTCATTTTAAGCCTGCTATGGAAGTAGCAACATTATGTTATTTTGACCCAACAAGATCTTATATAAATTTTAGCTAAATTCATATGTAATTTCCAACACTGAGAAAGTATGGAACCAGTTTTCTATTTAAGTGTACATAGAGTACAGCCTTGAGTTGGAAAACACATATTTGGTTTCATTCAGAATATATATAATTTTCTTTCAGTTGTGAAAAGAGTAACAGTTAAATTAGAGGTATTTGTTCTTAGCCTGTTTTTGACTCAGTTATTTACCAATTTTCTGGTTTAATTTTTGTATTTTGCCAAGTGCACAATTTGGATATAATAAAAGCACATTCTGACTTATATTAAAAATTCATAAAAATGAAAACATTTTTTTCAATTCTGACTGGAGGTTTAATGGCATATAGTTAATAATTTAAGTTAATAATAAAGTAATTTAGAGTTGTCTGCCTATGCCTTTGAGAAAATAAGCTTGCAAGGCAATTAAAGCAACACAACATAGTACATGGTATCACTTGTATGTGGTATCTTAAAAAGAAAAAGTCAAACTCACACACTGAGAGATGTGGTTGTTAGAGGATAGGAGTGGGGGAAATAGAGAGAAATAGGAGAAGGGCAGAGACTTTCAGCTATAAGATGAGTAGGGTCTGAGGATCTAATGTATCACATGGTAACAGTTGCTGATAATACTGTATTATATTGAAATTTGCTAAGAGAGTAGAACTTAAATGTTTTCACCAAAAAAAAGTTAATAAATATGTGAAGTTTGAGACACTAATTAATGAGATGGTGGGAATCCTTTCACAGTGTATACGTATTTCAAATCACCATGATATACATTTTAAATTCCTTATAATTTTGTCAATTATATTCCAAAAAAGGATGAAGTCAAAAAAGTACAAAAATTGTTTTAAATTCTTCTTTATGAGTAGTTACATTTGAGTCCCTTAAGAGAGCTTAGCTTTATACTTGAGTAATTGGTTTAATTAAAAAATATATATATTTGCCTTGCATATAGTGAGCACCCAGTTAATGCATGTCAGCAACTTGATATGAATGAACCCTGTTCTTTAAAAAATAACCTAATTTTGTCTATTCTTTTCTCTGTTTAAAAACAATTTAACTCTAAGAACAGTGACAGTTCATTTAGGAGAACTGTAATAGAAAATACAGACTTAAAACCCCTATAGAGGAGGTCATTTAAGTGCAACAAATTTTAATTTGTGCTTGATCTTCATAGAGGTGTCTTTGGAATGAGAATACCAAAAAAGTCTTAAAAAGCCATGTGAGGTCACAGAAACAGCCACATTCTTTTTTTTTCATTTTAATTAAAGTATAATTGATATACAATCTTATGTTGGTTTCAAATACAAAGCACAGTGATTCAACAGTTACCCACCCCTTCTAGTGAGGTCACTATTTATCTAACAGCCACATTCTTAAATGGGGTCAGTAGGAAAGGAAGTGGCCTTAAAGCTGGATTCTTATTGTGCTCCTAACAATTTGGGGGAAAAAAGAAGAATTTTTGACTTTTATTTATCTGGTTGACCCTCAGAGGTAGAGGTCGTGTTAAACTTACTCTTCCCTGCATGGCGCTTGGGTCCAGGCAAGGCCCTACTCTTATTTTTATTCACTTGTTCAATTGTATACTTATTTCCTCTTATAACCATGCCTTCCTAACATTCCCCTTTCTCCTTAGGCCACCACTGTTGTGCTTTATGTCTTTTTGTTTTATAGTTCTGACAAAACGTGTATTGTATTTGCCTGTTTATGTATTAAGTTGTGTAAGTTGATATTATGTGACTCTGTTTCTTTCATTTTTGAGCACATATAGTTAAGGTACCTCCTTGTTGCCACATGTAAGCATCTAATTTGTGTCTAATCACCACAGGACCCTTATCCACACTAGAAGCTTTCTATGTCTTTATACTGCTGAACTCTTAGCACAATAGGTTATTCATATTCATAAATATTTGCTCAGTGAATGAATGAATGAATGAATATATGCATGAGTGCATTTTGAAGGAAAAAAATAAGGTAGAAGGGGCAGCAAAAGCGAAGACCTGGGAGTGCAGCCAACATCTGGGGAAGTAAATAGTCGGCACTTGTGTGACTCCTGTGTGCAGGTAGGGAGTAGTGGGAAGGCAGAGGAAGGAGACGGTTGTCTGGATTATGGGGAACTTTGGTGAAGGACAGATATTCAGGAGCTGTGGTAGAGGTAGCTGGCATGAATATATGATTAGGGCTAGTGAGGAAAATAGTCTATAAATCTGTGCAAGGTATGGTTGTAATGTCAGAAAGCACAAGGGCATACTAGATTTCAAATGATGGTCATTCAGTAATAGTCTAACTCTGCATAGAGGGGTGCTTTAAATATTTCTAATTTCCCTCTCACAATTATGGATTGATCAAAACACTTACTTTTAGCAGTGTGCCCTCTTCTCCTACAGCTTTTAAACAAATGATTTTCTTAATCATCAGGTAGCCAGAGTTATTTAGTACTAAGAAGGTTACTGATAAAGATTCCTTGACTAAGGGATCAGAGCAACTTTAAAGAATTTTAACATATTGTGTGTGCAGAAATAAACTAGAAGAGAGGTCTCTGATGAACATCTTCCCTTTTTTTCAGATTAATGTGTGGAAAACAAAACTGAATCATGCTTTGCCCTCACCCCTCCATCAAATTGAAGCTTGGCTCCAGGAGGTAGAGGAGTTTATAGGTGAAGATTTGCCAGCCTCCCAGGATTACTGTGAAGCCATGGCTCTAATGCAAGAGAAAATTACTTTATTCAAGGTTGGAAAAGAAAAAAGAAACATGAAAAAGTCTGATATTTGAGATTTTATAGCATTTGTGCATGCCCACAATGAATGGAAAATACATCTGAAAACAAAAGATTTTAATAATGCTTTTACCAAAGAAACTGTAGTTCTGTTTCTCTGTAAAATGGCCCAGTTTAATACATTTATGATGAAAATATTTATTGACAAAATCTTAGTTTTAAAAAAGAGAAAAGGCTTAATGATCTTTTTTAAAAAGATGCAGTGCATACAGAGCAAATGAGATTAGCAAACACTCAATTACAATGTTTGGCAATAAATCTGGTTCATGCCATGCTAAATTTCTTTTCAGAGTCACATGGATAAATTTGACTGGCATTTAAATAGTCTCCTGGCATTTGAAAATAGAGATGAAAAGCATTTGCCATTGGTACCACCAAACAAATTGGAGGAAATGAAAAGACGGTTTGTAACACTACTATTTCGCACCTGCTAATACTGTTCATGCATGAGCACTGACATGGTACAATGGGGACCAGAAAATATAATTCTGGAAAATATTCAGATATTATATTTTAGATAATTTCTGACAATTAGTCTTTAAATCTTGATAACAGTACCTTAATGTTTTATGTAATAGTAATATTATATCATGCTAACATACTTTCTCTTTTATTGAATGGTAGGATATGATAATGGAGAAAGTTCTGGACTTAAAGTCAGATACTGAACTCTGTATTCTGGTTTTGGCCAAGTTACTCTATTTCTGAGCATGTTTCTTCATTTGTAAATGTAGGGTAATGCTAGTTGTTCTGTTCATGTCTCACAAGGGTACTGACTGGGTGGAAAGAGGATGTATATGAAAGCACTTTATAAGCTTGAAAATACCATAAATATAGGGATTGTTTAATTGACAGTTGTCCACATCATCTTTTCTTATCATAAGCCACTTATTAGAATAATTACTAAGAAGCAATTGGTCTTAATAGTGAAAGCTGTTTTAATGTGTAGATGTTGAAATTTTAGTTGCATTAAGTCATACTGATATTTTCAAATTTAGTGAAATGTTTTGGGGATTAACATTTTATTATAAGATTTCTCAATAGGGGAGTAGTTTCTTCAGAAAATAGTCTGTAGATATGCAAACATCTACATCTTGAGAAATAGTTGTTTTAGATCTAGTCAAAGTATTTTACTTTGTTTAAGAAAAAGAAGATTTGAGGATATATCTGAGTTCTGTGTATTTAAAAGAAAAAGTTAAAGCCCTAATGTAATTTTTTATTCACTAGTTGCCCTTTTTTTTATATTAAGGTATCATTGATAACAATCTTATGCTCAGATTTCACATGAGCAACCTTGTGGTTACTACATTCACCCATATTATCAAGTCCCCCCCACACCCCATTGCAGTCACTACCCATCAGTGTAGTAAGATGCTATAGATCTACTCTGTACTATACTGCCTTCCCTGTGCTCCCCCTATATTATGTGTTCTAATCCTAATGCCCCTTAATCCCCTTTTCCCTCCCTCCCAATCCACCCTCCCCAACCTCTTTGCCTTTGATAACTGCTTAGTCCCTTCTTGGAGTCTGTGAGTCTGCTGCTGTTTTGTTCCTTCAGTTTTTGCTTTGTTGTTATACTCCACAGATGAGTGAAATCATTTGGTACTTGTCTTTCTCTGCCTGAAAGCCCCAATATTTTTGAAAATTCCAAACAAGTATCTCACATTTGGCCAGTAATACTAAGTTAGGTTCTGAAACCTGCACTGTTTTCCAGAATCAACAACATTTCGGGGAAAAAATTCATTCCACTTCTACAGTTTCATTACTATAAGTTCTCAGTTCTTCGTTTGCTAGATGAAGTGAAATCAAAATTGGATGTTTGGAACATCAAATATGGGAATAAAGAGTCTGTGGAATTATTGCTGGAAGACTGGCGTGTAAGCTGTTTTATTTCATGTCTTTGACATTCTCCATGTCTGGGTGTTCGGTTTGCATTTTTCCTTGGCATCATTTCCCTTTACCTTTTTAGGTTTTGAGATGGGTTTTCATGATAGCTTTCATTAGCTTAAATATTGCCCAGAGAAAAAGAATTACATGTAGTCAAATAACAGACATCAGGAAGAATAAGAAAGAGAAAACAGCATTATTTATCACAACAGAGGAGATTGAGTTAGTTAAAATAATAGAGAAAGTTTCAATGTTATTTCCATTAAAAATTACTATTTGTAGTTGCTGGACATCTTGCTTAGTATTTTTCCCTCTCAGATTCATGGTTTCACTCAAAAATTAAATTTTTCTTATAACATTTTAATCTTAGCCTTTCAAGTTTTAAGGGGTAGGGAAAAAAGTATATTTTGTTTTGAGGCTCTCTTTGAAGAGGGGATTTAGGTCTTGCAATTGGGAAAATATGGTGTAAACCACTTGAATGTAAGTATGTTCATTTGTGAATTAAAACTAAAACATCCTAAAAATGTCATTTCTACAGTTAAGCATTATTATTCCTTTTTCTTGTTTCCCTCTTTTTGGAATGAGCAAAAAAGAATCCAAGATTATAAATTTCAGGGCAGAAATTGAAAAACATGCCAAAGAAAGATTTATGTATAATTTATGATTTTAAAAGTATACATTTCTGAGCAGGGAGCATCATTCTAAATTAGACTATATTTTGAATATTTTTATTGCTTTTATTTCCTTGATTTTTCATATTTCCATTTAAATATACCAGTGGCACATAATAAAAATATGCAATAAATATGAGTGTTTATATAACTGTATTTTCCATAGCAGAATTTGCTTACATAGGACACATAATAATTTGGTTAATGGTAGTTTCTCAAATGTTTTGTGTGATAGATGGCATCCATTTATAAAATACTAATACATCTAATGAAAATAATTCAGTATTAATAAAAATATGTAAAATAAGAGAAATTAATACAAAGTATAAAACAATAATAAAATGTGAAATAGGGGATTTTGAAAATGCTACAAAATACTTGCCTTTTCCTGTGGGAGGAAACCATTGTAGAACCGTATCACTACAGGAAGATCAACTTTGTCAGGTCTCATACGTATATAATATTTATTTTCATATTTATGTCTCCTAAATCTTAACTATCTTCTATCATGAAGTGCTCTTCTTCTTTTCCTACCCAAAGATGTAGTATTAAAGCCTTAAAGAAATTTTGGTGCCTAAGTGCTTCACCAATGTTATATATGTGCCTCTATCTGGTTTTCTTGGCATATTTTTAAAAGTACAAATTGTAAATTCATATTTTTCCTTTTTCACCAGAAATTTATTGAAGAAAAGGAGTTCCTAGCCCAACTTGAAACTTCTTTTCAACAATGTGAAGAAATTCATAAGAATTTGGGTAAAGCTATACTGTTATTTTTTGATGGAATGATGGTCACTTAAAAATAACATTCCATCTCTCTGTTTCTCTTTGTTTATACCTTAATGTTTTATAAATTGGTTTTACATACACTTCAGAACATTCTTCCATTTGCATTTAATATTGTTGGAGTACATATTTCACCCCCATGATTTTTCTTAACAGTATTATTTTGTTAATAAACTGTTTTCTAAGATGACATTCTTATTTTAACATTATAGCTGGAGAATATCAGAACATTAGTAAACAATATGCAATGGTGGAATATAATATTTGTATCTATAGAAAAAATATAGATAACGTGAAGTCCACACTACAAAAAGTTCTGGCGTGTTGGGCTACTTACGTGGAAAACCTTCGCTTACTAAAGACTTATTTTGAGGAGATGAAGAAGGAGAAGATTGAAGAGGTATTTTCAGTCTCATGGCATGTACTCAGTTTAAGTTTTTTGTTTGTTTTGTTTGGAGATCCTTGTTTTCAACACAAAAATGAGAGGCCAGGGAAAAGTAAACATGACTCTTGGAAAAATTCTCTAAGTTATTGAAAGGAATTTTATTTTCTAATATAATTGCCAGAAGGAAGTTTTCTCCTCATTAAAGGTTTTACACATGCGTGTGGACACACACGCACAGAGCTTTATTGAGGAATAAGTTACAGATATAGTGTAGTTTTTGGAAGATATGTTGCTATGTTCTTTGGAAAGGAAACAAAAAACTTGGAGCACTAGATAGCTTGTACTTTTGAAACAAATTGATGCTTTAAAATTTTTTATTTTTGCATTTGGGTGAATCCCTTTTAGCTCTAAAACCTTCCTGAGTTTGTACACGAAGAAAAACAAAATACTTTAAATTTCTGTGGAGAGGTGTGAAAGAAATTTCAATGTAATTCATTGTTATTTTCATTTGCTGTTCATGTGATAATCATTTATGATTATTCTCTCAAGTAGTTTTTCTTCCTTTCGTTTTCCTGCATTGCAGATGGCTATAGATAGCCTCTCAGATTAAACATTTTCCAAAAAGAAATAAAATTATGCAACAGAAAATAGGCTGTTTATATGGGAGTAAAATTTGTGATAAGTGTATGAGTGCAAAAATAATATTTGAGGGGTTAGTGAGTCATTACTTCTTGTCACTTATATTGATACTGGAAATTTAAATCTTTGGCTTTTAACAGTTCTTCTATCTTTAAAGGTCTTTAATTAAAGTACTACTTTAAGCCTTGCAATTCCCAGACTCTGTGCTGAGGTGCCCAGAGCTGCCAAGAGAACTCTCAGGATAATTTAAATTTTCAGGGAGACATGGCGACATCTCTTTGTTGGATACCTTGTAAATTACTACTAAGTTGTTTGGATCTGACTGTTTAAAAATGAGAACCGTTAGGTAATTCTTCTGGTCTCGGGAATCTGTGAAAAAATTACTGAGACATGAAGGGGACTATGAACAGAAAAAGTTTGAAAACCTTTGCTCTAAGCTCACCAGCCATTCAAACAGGTAGATCAGATGCTTCCTAAAAGTTTGGTCCCTGCAGTGATGACATAGCTGAAGCCTGCTGGCTAGTGATTAGGGATGAATAACTAGACCCTAAGGGGAGGGTCAGAGTCTCTGCAAAGACCTCACACTCACTTTTGCTTGGAATCAACCCTGATAAAGGTCTATCATAGGTAATAGACAAATAGGACATTAAAACATTATGTTGCTTATGTAGGTTCCCTCTGAGACACTATCCCTATGGAATCGAGACCATACTACTTTAAACGAAGTGGGAAATTTCTTAATTCAAGTCAGCAATGATGAAGTTGGATCATCTATTTCTAAAGAACTGAGAAGGCTGAATAAAAGATGGAGAAAGTTCATTACAAAAACTCAGCTTGTAAGTTTTTTTTTTTGGCAACAACTTCATTGAGAGATAATTCACATAACATACAATTCACTCATTTAAAGTGTATAACTCAGTGGTTTTAGTATATCAAAGTTGTGCTGCAGCCCTTACCAAATCAATTTTAGAACATTTTCATCACCTCCTAAAGAAACTGTGCCCATTAGCAGTTACTCCCCACTCTCTCCCAAACTCCCCAGCCCTAGGCAATTGCTAATCCACTTTATGTCTCTTTAGATTTGCTTATTCTGAATATGTCACAAATAGAATCATATAATATGTGGTCTTTTGCTTCTGGCTTTTTTTGCTTCATGTGATGTTTTCAAGGTTCATCCACATTGTGGCATGTATCAGTACTTCATTCTTTTTTATTGACAAATGGTAGTTTAGTGTATGGGTATACCACATTTTGTAGTTTAGTGTATGAATATACCACATTTTATTTATTCATTTATCAGTTGATGTACATTTGGCTTCCTTGTACCTGTTTGTCTAGTATGAATGACGTTGCTGTGAACATTCATGTTCAGTTTTTGTGTGGACATATACAGCTTTCTACTTGAAATTCATTTATCATTAAAGGATAACATAAGCATTTTTGCCTACTAGATTTCAAGCTCTTGAGAACATACGTCAAGCTTTGTCAATCATATTTAGCACTGTGCCTCATAAAAGCAGACCTTTAATAATTTTTTAACTTTAATTATTTAGTTAACAATTTGAGACTGAGGTGTTTCAGGGAAATAGGTATATTTTATAACATTGTTAATAACTGATGAATTCTAAAAATAGATTGAATATATCATGTCCATTTATTGTTGGTAATAATGTATCTTAGCATTAAATATATGAGCATTAAATTTCATGATACTAATTTTTTATAGGAAATGAAACTGCCACTTCAAACAAAACAGTTTCAGCCCATTCCTGACAATTCTGGAAATACTCAACTATCTAAAGAAGAAAAACCAACTATTGATTTTTCAATGGTTATGTCAGGAGAACTTCCTGAAAATCACAATCAGGATATAAAGGTAAAATAATTATACTTAATGTTTCTCATTTGTATATAGACATAATTTAACTTTACGATTTTTGTTTTGATGAAACCATATTGTTGGAACAGTGGAACATGTGATTATATTAGATAACATTTAAAGTATATCAGTTTCTAGTAAAAAGCTTAAGTGGTTCCCTTCATGAAGTAATCTTTCACGGTAAAGCCGTGTCTCTTACTCACTAAGGAGTTCCGCAGACCCTCAGGAGCAGTTGTGACTTCTGAGCTGTGGAAATGGAGTTGATGTTTTTGTCAGATTATTTCTAACTAGTGCTTAGAAATTGTCTAGCTTTAGACTAGACCCTGGCTTATGTCTTGTTTCTTGTCCGTAAAAGGAGAGAAAATATAATCTTTGTTTCTTGCTTTCTTGGGTAATTTGAAGGATGATTTTAAGTTATAGGTAAGAATGTGGAAAAGGAAGAAAAAAATAAAATCATAAACATGTAAGGTATAATACCTAGGATCTTTGAAATGTGCTTCCTTCAGAATAATAACTTTCACAGTTTTAAGAAAGTAAACTGGCTTTGGCAAGTTGCCATGCTGGACTGTCAGTGTTTTCCCACCATAAGAAGACCTAATCAGAAATTCTTGAAATACCTGAATTCATATAATATACTTTTAGAATAGAAGAATTTAGAATATTGTATTCTTCTAATACATTTAAAATGAGCTGATTAAAAGCAACTTTAAAAAAATCTATCATGTATCATATCAAGCTGTAGGATATTGCGAGATTATTTGAAAAGGCTGAATTTTGTTGAAATTTGATTCTGAGCCTCTTCTTCTTTTACAACTATTGGCTAATAGCTGTACTTAATTAAATTGCATATGAGTTTTAGAAATGTGTTTGTAGAGTCAATAACCTTATTTTCTAAGCCTTAATCTTATCTATAAAATGATGACAATGAGGACTATAGTAACTAACTTATGGGACTATTAACATTAAGGAAATATATATGAACAAACCTTTTAATTTAATCTTTAAGGTGATAATGTACTATCATAGTTATTACCATTGTCCAAAAACTAGGTCTTAAGTCATTAAAATATGTTGAATTCTCACTGTTCAGAAAAAGAGATATAACTTTTTAAAATTGAAAATTATTTTATAAATTTTGCTATTTTCATAATGATAATTTTGAATTTTGTAGGCTAGAGAAGAACATGAAAAAGCAAGTGAAGAATTTACAGGGCAATTAAAACTGGCTGAAGATGTTGAAAAACTCATTGAACAAGTGGAAATCTGGGAGGCAGAAACCAGATCTGTCTTAGATCTTCTGAGACATCAAGATGATATAGATAGCTCAGTGGAAGAATCTTTGCAGGTATGAATGTAAAAGTATTAACAGGACAGCTTTCATGGTTGTGGACTTACATATTGGGATAAATAAGAAGTTTTAAAGTGAATAGTAGTAAGACCATTGTTTGAAGTATCTTTGTTGGAGGTTTTTTAATGGCACAGATTCTCATCCTTGTATGGATCATCTGCTGAGGTTTTGCTTCAAGACAGGATAGATTTGAAGACTACTAGTAATACCTTATGAATCTAAATTCTTGAAATAATTTTTCCGATGTACAGAATGGACACTAAAATATTGTCTTGTATCAGAGGACAGTGAGGAGATGAGGGAGTTCAGTCTCATGTAGCTCAGTGCAGTGTATATATAAGAGATTATATAATCTGTGCTTTAAACGCTCACCTAGTGATTAAGCAAGCCACTTTCTCTTCCTTACTTGATGCAGGGAGGGTGATAGATGTTGATAAAGCTATCTTTATTTTCAGACAGTCAATTCATTGAAAAGCAATGAGGCAAGAGCATGTTTTAGTATCACTCAGATCTCCTGGGAAAGAAGTTACAATTGAGGTTTTTACTGAGTCCCAGTTCAGCTATAAAACTTGCAGAGCATGTCATAAATTACAATATGGAAAGTTTCCTCGAATAAAGGAACATTTATGTAATTCTTTTCAATCTACATTTCTGAAAGGTATATATATATATATAGAATTTTGTGTTTTCATTGTCTATAAATGGTACTTTTTATTGCTTTGAAAGCACTATATAAACTTACCCATGCCATCTGCCAGTGCTTTTCTAATTTTATTTTTATATGTATTTATTTGCTGTATCTGGAGTTTATTTTAAGTGAAAGAAACAAATGAGAAATCCAATATTTAAAATATATTTCAAAACAATAGCAAGGATCCCTCTTATAAACAGTGAAAATACAAACATGCTGGAATATACTTCTGTTAAGAAGGAATTAAGCAGATCTTTATTGGATCAAGATAATATTAACTAAGAAGAACAAGTTACTGAACAGTACGGGTGATGTGATCCTTTTACTGTGTTTAAAACACATACTTTTGTATACTTTATGCTTTTATATCCATAGAAAAATGTCTGTAAGGATATACAAACATGCTGTGTTATGCCCCACTCTTAGCACATTTCCCAGTATGTGGTATATATACATAAAGTAAATATTTTTTAAATGAATATGTGAATGATTAAATGTCAACCAAGGGAGGGATGAGAAAGAAGAGGAAGTTTTCTTTACATGCTGCTCCTTTCTATTGTTTGGGTGTTTTACATCACTTTTGTTATTTTTATAATTAAAAGAAAAAATTGAAATTGTTTTTATAATTAAGAGAAAAGTTGAGATTATGCTAGGACACTTAGGTAATGATTACAGTGTAAAGAAGAAAATAAAAATCACTGTAATTCCACTGCCCTAAGATAAATGAGATCAACACTTACATAGGTGATATCACACAGTGTAATTTCTATTTTATCATGCCCATGCCACCCTTTAGTTGAAATTAAATAATTTATTTTATTAGTTTGATAACTAAAAAGTGGTACCTCATTTTTTAAATTTGTACTTATTTGGCTACATCTAAGATTGAACTGTCTTTCATATGTTCATTAGCTATTCATTTCTGTCAATTTTCTTTTATCTTCTGAATTTTCTTTGGGACTTCAGGACTTGTCTTACTGAGTTTATAAACTCTTTCAATCATGATCCATTTTCATTTGTGTGGCAAATATTTTTACCAATTTGTTGACTTTTAAGTTGTTTATTTTATTTCACATAGAAAATTTTTATATTTATATGGTCACGTCTATCCTGACTTTTAAGTCTAAAAAGGCTCTCCACTCCAGAGAGCAGATCAGTTTTAATGGACAATTTCTTCTTTTTGTAGTTTCATATTTTGTATGTAATGTTCTGATCCATCTAAAATTTATTTTTGGTATATTGTATAAAGCATTGTTCTAAAAAGATTATTTTCCAGCAAGCATTTTTTCCATTAATATTTGTTGAATTCCCTTCCAACTGATTTTGTTGTTGAGCTTTTGTGTCTGGGGAGGTCTCTTCCTGTGCACTCGGTGAAGCTCAGCCTGGACAGGGGAGGGTTCTTGACTGATCAAGAAAGAATTATTGAACAGGTTGGACTAGTGTAGGTAAGGAAGGAATTTATTAAAGTGACTGTAGTAGTGAATGGCAGCAGCCAAGCAGGCAGTGGAAAGCAAGAAGACAGGGAGGAGAGGGAAGTTCACTGAACTCCTGCTCAGCACAGGGCAAATTCCATGCCAACTCCTAAAGCCCCTTACCTGGTGTCCAGTATCTGCTTGAATCTCCACGGCATGGGAACTAAGCCCGTACCACCCCAGGATTTGGGGAGCTGCAGAGTACTGGATGGAGTGAGATTATGTTCTGAGAACTTCCACTTCCCTACTGGTCTGAAATAAAACAGGGAGAGAGAGAAAAAGATTGTGTTAAGACTAGAAAGCTGAATGAAATAGCAAAGCAACAAAAACATTTACCACCAGAGGTGAAGGTTGGAGAGTTCTTGTCTTTATCATGGAGAAGAGTTCAGAGACAAGTGCAGTCAGTCTGCTTATGCAACAAGAAAGGTTATTTGATATAACACAGTACACACTCAAATGGGAGTGTGGGCGGCCCCAGAGAGGAGGCACATCTAGGATTTTATAGGGCCTTTTGGGTAAGGGTTGGTATAAAGAATGATGTATATAGGTGATTCATAATTCTTTGAAGTTTTGTCTTAAGAATAGGGTTATTTAGGTGACTGAGTTGATCTCGCTCTTGGTGTTATTTATCCAGATCTCGGCATTCTTTATCTACATAGGTTCATTTACCCTTCGGAGGTCCCGCTCTTGTCCGAGTTACAAGTTACTTAATTGATTAAGGGGCTGGAAGAAGAAGAAGAACAGCATATATATTAAGTTAAAAATAAGCTGGGCTATGCTGATGGACAGTGACTGTAATGGAGTTTGTGGGGGGGGGACTTGGTGAAGGGGGGAGCCCAGTAAACATAATGTTCTTCATGTAATTGTAGATGAATGGTACCAAAACAAACAAACAAACAAACAAATAAATAAATAAATAAAATAAGCTGGGCCTTTTCCCCAAGCTAAGTAGATTTTACAATGGCATAACCGTTGTCCCATTTCCCTGCTCTATCTCAATTTGACTTAGGACAACTTCATTTTAAGGTTTATTACTATTCTCTCAATTTATTTACTTTCTATTAGCATTGTGTTATTCCCAGTCTTATTTTATTAAGTGCTTATGGTATAAAGAATAATCTCTAAAGTCAGAATCTGACTACTAATATAAAATTGCAAGATAAATTTTTAAAATAATACTTTAAGGGTACAAATTTACTTAATTTTAGATTAATAATTAGCATTTTATGATTTCCTTATGAAATTATTGAGATAAATTTTTAACATATAATTAGAATGTTTATTGTGACCTTGCTTTAATTTTTTTTACAAGCATCTTATTGCCAAAGGCTCTATGTATGAAGAGCTTGTGTCTAGAACTGAAGATACTTTACAAATGGATGTACAAAATATTTCAAGCCAGGAATCCCTTGAACATGTTCTCACAGCTGGTCTTCAGGCAAAGATTCAAGAAGCTAAAGAGAAAGTCCAGGTCTCTCTTCGATTTTTCCCTCTTTAGTGAATTTAGCCTTTAAAACTGAGTGGTTAGTGGGAGTATGGGGAAAAGTCAGGGATTGCTCTGGAGTTTGGAAGTGTTTTGTAAAATTTTAGTTTGTGTTACAATTTTTTATAATTTATAGTATATTAGAAATATAAGAAAACAAGTTGCTACTCAAAGAATATATTTATTAACTTTTGAATTTACTAATAAGTTGGGCCAAGTGTTGAGAATTTTTTGTTTTCACAGATCAGTGTGGTGAAATTAGTTGCAGTGTTGAAAAACTCCACTGACATTTCACCAGACCTGGACGTCAGGCTGAAGGTGGAAGAATCGCAGAAGGAACTCGAATCATACATTGCAAGGGCTGAGCAGTTACTTAGCCAAAGAAAGAGCCAGAGTGGACTAATTTCAAAATACAAGGTGTGACTTTTTCAACCTTCAAGTGCAGGATATTTTATGATTAGCTACCTATCTCATTTAAAATCAAGATGTTTCCATCACTGTAATTATACATTAATTAATTAATGTATAATTAATGTATAATTAATTGTGTATATAACACAAATTAATTAATGTATAATTACAGTGATGGATAATATAGTATAATAATAACTATAAATTTTAAAAATTTCCCAGTTTTATACACTGTTCCCCAGAGACTTTTTTCTTTTTCTTCCTTTTTTTTAAATTGAAGTGTTGTTGATATATGATCTTATATTAGCTGCAGATATACAACACAATGGTTCAACAGTTTATGTGTATCACTAAATCCTTACCCCCAATAGTGCGGTTACTATCTGTCAACATAGGAAGATGTTACAGAGTCACTGGCTAGATTCTCCGTGCTGTACTACCATCCCCATGAACAACCTGTATTGTGATTGAGATTTTTGGTTCCCTTTATTCCCCTTACCTTTCACAGCTCCTTTCCCATGGTAATCACCAGTCACTTCTTAGTGTCTCTGAGTCTACTCCTATTTTGTTCATTTTGTTTTGCTTTGTTTTTTTGGTCCACAAATAAGTGAAATCATATGGTATTTGTCTTTCTCTTAATTATTCAAAAAATTTTTTGCCCCAGTTTTATTGAGATATAAGGATACATAACATGGTATTAGTTTAGGCTGTTCAGCATAATGATTTGATGTATGTATACTTGCAAAATAATCACAATAGGTTTCATTTACATCCCTCCCCTCATATAGTTACAAAGTATTTTTCTTGTGATGAGAACTTTTTAGATCTACTCTCTTAGCAACTTCAAATATATAATACAGTCTTATTAACTATACTCACAAGGCTTCTCTATTTCACTTAGCACAATATCCTTTAAATCCATCCATATTGTTGGATATAGCAGGATTTTCTTTTTTATGACTGAATAATATTCCATTGTGTATATTTACCATGTCTTCTTTATCCAGTCGTTTACTGATGGGCACTTAGGTTGCTTCCATATCTTGGCTATTGCAGATAATGTGGTGATATACACAGGGGTGCATATGTCTTTTTGAATCAGGGATTTTGTTTTATTTGGGTAAATTCCTAGCAGTGGCATTACTGAATCAAATGATATTTCTATTTGCAGTTTTTTTGAGGAGCCTCCATACTGCTTTCCACAGTGGCTGCACCAATTGACATTTCTACCAGTAGTATGGGAGTTTCCCTTTTTTCCACATCCTTGCCAACACTTGCTATTTCTTATCTTTTGGATAGTGACCCACTCTAACTAGTGTGAGGTGATACCTCATTGTGATTTAGATTTGCATTTCTCTGATGATTAGTGGTGGGGAGCATCTTTTCATGTGCCTGTTAGCCATCTGTATTTCTTCTTTGGAGAAATGTCTGTTCACGTCCTCTGCCCATTTTTTAATCAGGTTATTTGTTTTTTGGATATTTAGGCATATGAGTTCTTTATGTATTTTGACCATTATCAGATGAGTCATTTACAAATATATTCTCCTTTACTGTCTGTGTCTTGCCTTTTTGTTCTGCTGATGATGTCCTTTGCTGTGTAGAAGTTTTTAGTTTGATGCAATCCCACTTGCTCATTTTTTATTTTGTTTCCCTTGCCTGAGGAGAATTGTCTGGAAAAAATTGCTTATGTTTATGTTTAAGAGATTTTTGCCTATTTTCTTCTGAAAGTTTTATGGTTTTCATGTCTTAAATTCAGGTCTCCTATCCATCCCCAGAGACTTTTAAAAGTAAACATTCAGACCTAAGAATTTTTTAAATTCTAATTTAATTGTAGAACCACTGAATGGGCTCAGTGAAATAATGTAAAGAGTACGGCTGACTCTGAAATTGAGGATGAATTTAATTTCTCTGGCTTTTAAAATCAGTAAAATCGTCACGATAATTCCAGCCCTCTCCAGCTGCCAAATTTCTTGTGAGGCTTTAAATGAAAATAATGTAGATGAAGATATTTTGAATACTTAAAATTTCCTGAATATTAATAACACTTTTATTATTATTATTATGCTTTGATAAGAGTTATTTATGCACATACGCTTATTGGTGGTTAAAGATCCAGTACTTTCACCTTTGGAGAGTTTCAGGTTGATTTTTCATGGTTTGATAGGCAGCTTAGGATGTATGCAAATAGAGACACACTGTTAATTAACACTGTGGGAGGTGCTACAGTGGGCGGGGGATGTGAAGTAAAACAAGGTCTCTACCATTGGACACATTGGGGAAGTAGATACGTGTCCTTTCATTTATTCATTTATTCACCATGTAACACAGACTGAACAGGTGAAATGAGCTAGGCCTATGCGGCGAGATAAGAGAAGGAAAGCCATACTCCCAGTGCGGCTGCTCCCACTCTTTTAGAAAAAGTAGCTGGCATAAGAGTCTGTCTTCATTCTCATGGTGGCCTCCTTCTCTTTTCTGGGACCCAGTGCTATTTTGGCTTTCTGGATTGTTAGCCAGACGGGGCCTTCTTATCGGCCATTTCAACACTGCTGTTCACACAAACCTCAAAGCCTTCCCCTGCTTGATCTTGTACTATTTGCCCTTTACTAGCCACCGATTTTGACCAACTCCCCCTGTCTTTTCTTTGCACTTTTATTCCCCAATTGCTAAGAGGGCTGAACTGACCTTAATGAGTCAGTGTTTCCCTTAAATAATCCCTAGGCTGGATTTCAGGATGCTGATACGGTCAGTTCAGGAAAGAGAGAAGGAAAAGAAAAAAAATAGAGGCGCCAGGCTGCTTCTCACAAGAGAGGAGTTAGACATGTCAGTCTCGGCACTTTCTTCCTCTCCTGGACCATCCTTTTGGAATCTGAGGCCAGGGATTCTCCCACTGCCCCTTTTTGTCTCTGGCATTTAGTGAAGCAAATGCATTTTCACAACAGAAGCAAGATCTCTGCTCTGCCAGGTACTGTCCTGAGACCTCTGGGACTCCAGGCACACATGAGTAGTAGGAGACCCCAGCCAGCATATAGGGCTACAGTGTCTCCCTAGGCTGTAAATCTAGCAATCTCCCGAGGCCTTGGAGAAGGCTCCTGGCCAGCGCTGGCCCTTTTCTGCAGTAGGCCAGTTATCAATACATGATGAGTATGTGAACAGACTCCCACCCTACTTAACTGCCTTCTCCCCCAGAATTACTTTCATCTTCTATTAGGTTTTCTGCCTCTTTCATGGTCCCAACTAGGTTTCTGCTCTTACCAAGTATTGCCAGGTGATAAATGCTCTTTATGAGCAGGTAGGTGTGGGGTAAGGTGCAAACACATTCCTGGCAAGGCAGCCCCCATCTCTGTCTGCTGCTCTCTCCCTGGGGCAGGGCTGCCAGTGTGGTTGGCCCTGGGCAAAACTTGAAGTTGATTATAAAGTAATGTTCCCCCTTACAGCATAAAATGCTTATGCACAATATTAAATATTTACCATATTAACCCTACAAAAGTTGTGTCTTATTGCAACACTAATCTCTGATACATGCTACTATATTCTTCATACTGTATTGCTGATGAAAAAAGCTAGTCCACTCAATATTTAAGAACTTTAGAAGAAACATTGCCAGTGGCTTATTTCCCTGCACAATAAGCCTTTTAATTATTTATCAAAGGGGTAACAGAAATGATTTTGAGTATCATAAAGTATTTTCCATCTGGACTTCAAATGTATAACTACATTGGAATAATAATATTTTGCACTTCTCTTCAAAAGCATTCAAGATACACCAAAGGGATATCAACCTTAATTTATAAAGAGAAATCTCCCCCAAATCTTCAAATAGTCTTCTTTTCTTTTTGTTGTTTGGCTTGTTAGAGACCTACCAAATTTTGCTTTGGGGACTTGGCAGGAAAATGCAACTTTTATGTTCTTGTTTGCATTTTTTTTAAGGAAGCACTAAAAATTTTTAATACTAGAAGTCTGGCCAAGTATTTAAAAGCTGTTGAAGAACTGAAAAATAATGCAAGTGAGGATGTAAAGCTGTCTTTGGAAGAAGAGAGTAGAGGTTTCTGCGCCAAATGGGAGGTAAGAACACACATATGCAGATCTGACCCTGGGCCTGTTTGGTGTCAGAGTCATGGTCCATGCCCCGCCCCAACTCTTATCCTATGGCCGACCACTGCAGGCTGCGGTTCCCAGGCCCCGCATCAGCTGGCTTCTGTCTGTGTTCAGTTGGTTACAAGCACTGAACAGGATTCAGAAACTAGAGGGCAGTTGGAGGTGAGAGAAGGGAGAGTCCAAAGTCCCTCTCTTGCATTGTCTCTGGCAGGTGTGTCTCGCTCTGGCTGCGGGTTTCATGTTTCCAGCTCTGAGGGTGACTTCGCCTGGGCTCCCTTGAAGCCTGCAGCCAGCAGAGGTCGCAGCTGCTGCCAGTGCTAGTTTCTGGGCCACCTTTCTGGGCCCCCAGTGCCTCTCAGCTCTTTCTTCTCTTGTGTAATCAGTTCCCTGCAGTATATTCTCTCTGCATTACATATTTAGTGTTTTCTGGTTTGCCTGTTGGACCCTGAGGCAACATACTGACACATTTACACCTACAGAGTTTCATAGGACAGAGTTTTGTAATGAAACAGGTAGGGGGTTGGTGGCAGACAGAGCTGGACTTAGCAGTTATGACCCTGGTCAAGTTGCCTAACTTCTAGGAGCTTTACTGATAAAATGGGAATAACCCCAACTACTTGGCAAGATCATTGCAAGGATTTATCTACAGCACCCAGTGCAGAGAATGTGTTGAATAAATGGTAACTGGTGTTAAGTGTGTGTCTATGGGTGTATGGGTGTAGAGAGAGAGAATAAGATAATATTCTACATGTTACTGTTATTCTGCATGTCTACTGTTAAAGGTCCTGTTAAAATATTTTAAAATAAACTTTTTTGATTTTAGAACAATTTTAGGTTTACAGAATTAGTATAAAGGTAGTACAGAAAGTTCCAGTATACCACGTGCCCAATTTCCCCTATAATTATCATCCTATATTAATATAATACCTTTGACACAATTAATGGACTAATAATACTGGTACATGATTTACTAAAGTTTATGCTTTATTCCTATTTCCACAGTTTTCCCCTAATGTTCTTGTTTTCCATTTCAGAATCTCATCCAGGATACAAATTGTAGTTACTGGTTATTTCTCCATAAGCTCAGATATGTGTTTTGTATATATCTTCTCCCAATCTGCAGCTTGTGTTTTAATTCTCTTAACTGTGTCTTTCACAGCTAAAACACATTTTTAGTTGTTAGAAAATAAATATGTTCATGGGCCTGATATATTAAAACATTTTCCTGAAAGACACAGGATGAATCACAATGTCACTTATTTATGCTCTTTTTTCACCCTTTGTTACTACAGAAACTTTTATTATGTTTTCAATGAAAACCTTTTCAATATATTCTGTTCCCATGGCTCATATGTGCTCTTTTTTTTTTTTGCAGTCTCTTCATCATGAAATGTCTTTGTATATTCAACAACTAAAAATAGACATTGAAAAAGGAAAACTTAGTGACAGTATTTCAAAACTTGAAAAACAAATAAATAAAGAAAAGAAACTGATTCGCAGAGGAAGGACCAAGGGTCTCCTCAAGGAACATGAGGTGAGCCACCTGTTTTCATTTAAATGTTGTCATTATTTTGAAGATTATCTTAAACAGTTGTGTATGTCCTTAGCCTGGGATTAAATCTGTTCTGAAAATTACTTCAACCCTCAAATTCCCTGGGGATTATCCCTTACGTGGTTGGAATTCTAACTAGAGCCTGTACCTCTTGCATTTTAGAAGTGAGAAAAAATTCAACATTAAGTTAACATTCTGTGACTTCCCTTGACATTCTCAGTGGCTCCTGTCCTCCAGACTCTGGTTGCAAACTTGTCACCTGTTGAAGATCCCACAATTGCTTTTGAGAGGACACGGTGTCCTTAGAAGGGCAGCTTTTGTGAAAGACAGCACATCAGGGTATAATCATCTGGGGCGAATATAATTATCTCTCTTTGGTTCCCATCCTGGTTGATGGCTTCTGTGTATGTGACAGTACTGACTCCTCTTTTCATCCCTTTTGAACTTTCTACTGCTGTGATTCTCTCTGACTTTTCCTTCCTTTTTTGGGGGGAAGGCTTCCTTTTAGTGTTTCCCACAGATTGTCCCTTTTACTGTGTTGTCTTAGTGTTTTGGTTTGGAAGGGAGATTTCCATTTTTGCTAACTGAATGCTTGCTGTAGGGTTTTTGTGCACTACAGGGTTTTCACTGCCCTCTCTGCAGTGAGAGTGCCTAGATCGTCACCTCCAGCTGAGTCCTTCCCCTGAGCTCAGGCTCTGTCTCTGAGCAGCAGGCATCACCGCTGTTCTGCTTCTTTTCCTTCCTTTCTGCTGGTGTTGCCACGTCCCGTAACCTGGGTTATTGTCTCAGTGTCGGGATGGTTGCACCATCCTCCAGCAGTCACCAGGATGAACACTTTGAACCACAAATCTTCTGTCACTGGTTTACCATTACCCCCAGGACATCTCCAAACCCCTTAGGAGGCCACCTGGGTCCTTCCAGGCTGGCCCCAGGACACCTCCAGCACCCCTCTCCCCTGCCACACTGCACTGCTTGTCCCTTTGGAGCACTGGTGCTCTTCTCTCTTGGCTGCTCCTGTGCTCGCAATGCCCTTTCTCCCATTCACAGGGAGGACTCACGCATCTTTCTGCTGCCAGCTCAGATAAGTAGGCTTTCTCTGACTCTTTGAAGGCAGGGAGTAGCTGTCATAGCACTTGTCTAGCTACATGCTCTTTATTTGTGTGACTACTGAAGGGGAGGAAGTTTCCCTTGGCCCTCTTGGGGCCCCTGGCTGGGTCTGATACTAAACTGACAGTGAAACAGTCTTAACAGGTGAAAAGCATACATATTTTATTGGATTCTTGCATGCACATGGGAGCCTTCACGAGAATGAAGACCCAAAGATGTGACCAGAGCAGGGCCTTTTATGCCCTTTAGAAAAAGAAATGAGTCATTTGTGAAGAGTTCACAAGACTAAGGGGTTTGGGCTGGGGTAGAAAATGGTACAGAACTAGGAAGGTAAGAGTTAGTTTAACAAGGTTTGTTTGCACATTCCTCTGGTGCCTTGTCTGGGCTGATAAGTTTGTCTCCAGTAAAAGGAGACTATTTCTTGCCTTTAGGCAGACAAAGGGCAGCTTTTTTTGCATTTACTGCTTCTTAATTGCCTTCAGCTCAAACTAATTTTCATATCAAAGAGGCATGTTTTGGGGTGACATATTCTGGCTTCTTTCCCTGTACTGGACTGCAGCAAATCCCTTTAGGGCTGATTTTCTCTTCTTTGTTTCTCTTGTGCCCATTACCACCCCAGGCACACAGTGGATGGCCTCTAGAAGAATGTGTTGTTAAAGTCACACACATCTGTTAGATTCTACTCCTTATGGACTAATCACGTAAACTCATTTGAAACACATTTCCTGCTTTATTTCCTCAATCAGGCCTGCTTTTCTGAGGAAGGCAATCTGTACCAGCTCGATCACCACTTGGCTGTCCTGCAGGAGCTGTGTGAAGAGCTGACTTCACAGAGGAGTCAACAAGACACGAGGAGAGTGCTCACAGATTATGAACAAAAGATAGAAAGACTTCGGAAACGTGCTTCCGAGATACGTATGACCCTGCAGCCCACAGTGGGAGGCACGTCGATAAACAAGTTAGTGCTTCTTAAGAATAACTATGCGTTAGGGAAGAATGAGATAAAGTCTCTTCAAAACCAAATGACACTGAGTAGCATAGGCTTCGTTTTTGTCCATTTTAATATGCAATTTTGATTCTTTCCTAGGGGGATGATGAGCACATCTGAAAATGGAGGAAGGGAGGCCCACTGTGAGATGCCATCTGCAAACTCAGATGATCAGCCTTCAGCTGAAAAGGTGTTAAATGTGGATAATGTACGTTAGAAGTAGACCCAGGGAAAAAGGCTGAGTGTACAGTAATCCACCTCTCATTTAAGTGTTGGTTTTAATTATCTGATGCTTCTATCAGCTAAGAATTCCCACTTAAATAATGCAGGAAGACTACTTTTCAAAGAGTTCAAATACAGTGGACCATAGCTGTACCTAACGTAACTTAATCTTCCTCTGAAGATACGAACAGTTCTCTCAAGGAAACCGTTTTGAGCCATTATGAATACACTACAGTGTTCCTCTTGAGAATATGAGGCTGAGCTTCATCTGTACAAATGCTTCAGCATCATTGAAATAAACTAGGTCATTTATCATTTGTCTTTTTCTAATTATAATGTCCTTTACTGCCCTTCGGAATTGAATTTTCTAAATTTTTGAGCTCTAGGCAAGTGGGTGTTTGTGTGTATGTCACAGCCCAGCCTGCCAGTCAGCAGTTGTGGGGAAGGAATCGGGTGTACCTGAGGTCTGCTCCTGCATGCTAGGCTCCTGGCTGGCTTCAACTGTGGCTGTGAGGTTGCAGGCAGAAATAGCACTCAGGGGTTGGGAGAACGCCTTTCCCGTGCTGACATACCAATTAGAAGGTGAAATGCAGGCTCATAAATTTCCTCTGGCCTGTAGGAAGGCCTTTCTCTGAGCTGAGAAACCTCAAATGAATTGTATTCTCTCCTGGTTTGGGGTATACAGAATCAATGATATACCTTTGTAGCATGAAGTGTTTATCTTTTCCAGACAATTAAGTATATTGAAGATACTGTGTTTGCTATTTTGCATATTTGCTTAGGCAATGGAATCGAGTGAGAGTTTCAGCGTGGGATCTGAATTAAAGCCTCAGCAGGAAGAAAGCATTATGGAGAAGTATGAAAAGGATCATAATGCATCTGTAAATAGTTTACGAGAGAGGTAAACTATTTTAAACAACTGGAAGATGCACCAAAAATCGCTCATCAATGCAGACACATTATACTTCAATCATAATTTTTGCATGTGGTCCAGTAACTTAAACAGATACTCCCTGGGATTTCCTCATGTACAATCAACAGTAGTTAAAAAAAAAAAGTTCTGTCTTATGTTTAAAATG